TTGTTTTGTTGCTAATCGTTTTCTTTTTGTGTGAACATTTGCTTTTGTTGTTGTGGATATACATGTATGTATGTATCTTGATTATGATGAGATTGTTAAAAGAAAAGTAAGAACTGGAAAATGTCTTATTGCATATAATTCGAAGGAAATTGATGAATAAAAAAATTCAAATACTTAATTGATTCAGCATTTATATCTATTGAGAATCTCTAAACCATCTTGAGTGTGGATATAATATTCATACTACCTCCTATTTGTACATTACGCAATTGAGTTCTTCAGGGAAGTCGATAAAGTTTAATGAAAATTTTATATATTAAAAGAAAATAACAATACAATTTAGAATTTTCGACTTTGTACACGTTGGTGAAATCGGTCATCATCAGTAAACATAACCACTACCTAATGTTAATATTGTAATCATCATAATAATCAATACTACATCATTATAATACTTCTATCTCGTTTTTGACTCTACTATATTTTACTATCAAGTTATCTATCTTCTTAATATTGACTTATTCACATGCAATACGTATAAAACTTGAATATTATTTATTTATACATTGGATCGATGTTTTATGTTAATTAATTATGGTATTATGATTACAACATTAGGTAGTGGTTATGTTTACTGATGATGACCGATTTCACCAACTTGTACAAGGTCGAAAATTCTAAATTGTATTGTTATTTTCTTTTAATATATAAAATTTTCATTGAAGTCAATGATAATTCGCTTGTTTTGTCTGAGTTACCATTGAATTATATGGAGTTAACGAATCTAAACTATTACAAATAATTCCTTTCTACTCGTTCATTACATTGGGCAAAATCTAGAAATATTGTAATGTTGGCATATGAAGTAATGATTTATTTTTTGACTCTATAGCTCAAAAAAATTTCTGTCGTACTGTTTTATCCCAATTTCCGTCTTACCTATGCATGTCAAATTTTATTGGATGATTGATTTTATCTATTATAATTAATATAGAAAAGAAATGAATCACTTTTAAAGTTATATAATGATTTTTCATTAAACATGAGATATTTATAATTATCTTTATATTTTTCAAGAAATCTTATTTTAATATTTTTCTGGAATAAGACTATAACAAAAATTGCATTTATTCTGTGTCAGTTGATGTCTTTGTTGTTGAAAATATTGATGGTAACGTAAACGATGTTTGTTCCTGTTTCCGATTTTTTCTCAAGCTGTTTTGTTGTTGATGCTGATGATGATGATGATTTCGTCGATTTTTCCATATTTCTGGAATAGCATATATACTTAAAAATGATGAAAAACAACAAGGAACATATGTAAATGCATTTGCTATTTGTATACACCATGATAGATTAATTAATGGCCAAAATTCATATAAAGAATTTAAATTTACTAAAACATACGGTAATAAACCAATTAAATAAATACTTGAAAATAATATCATTTGACGTGTTAAACGTTTACAACGACGCCATTTTTTTGAATTCGAACGAAATAAACGAAAACGTAAACGAATTATACGAATTAATAAAAATAATGTTGCAAGTATTGTTATTAACAATGGAAATAATAAACTTAATAAAGTATCAATTAAAAAAATGAATTTTTTATCTTCAAAACATGGTTGACATCGAAATTTATTTCTAATTGTTTTCTCATATGAACATGTTGATATAAGTATTGAATACCATATTAATGGAAAACCTAATGCAAATGTACTTGGTATAAGTTTAAATTTAAATGTTGATTGTAATTTTTTCATATGTATTGGACCAAATATAAGTATATGACGTTGTATTGATGCCCAACATACTAATAGAGCTAGACAAACAATTGATGAATAATCGATAATTAACCATAATTTACATATAAATAATGATAATGGAAAATATAAATTAAAATATAATTCAACTAAAAATAATGGTATACATGTACATGTTGTAAATAAACTAACATGTAATATACAACGAAATGCAAAAACACTTAATTTTGTATTTCCATGAAGACGATATGTAGCAAATAGATTTATCATTATACTTGGTATGCTTATACATAATATTATAATAAAAATTATTTTATTTATTAATACATCCATATATTCATTAGTAACTTTATTTGTTGAATTTTCCATATGATTTAATAATGTTTGATGATACATTTTAAATAACTTATAAGTGAGTTAGAAATTCTCAATTATTCTTTGATATGTTTTTAGTTGCGTACATTTGTTTCATGGAATAAAATTCGGTATTTACTTACTTGTGTCTTTCCTTTTTCTCTCTCTTTTTTTTCTGTTTTTACAGCTCATAATCAGTGTCAATATTATACAATACAAATACACCGATCGATAGTCACTGAATGATAGAATGCTAGAATTTTGACATGTTTATATGATACAAGTATTTTATAAATGACGAATAGTGTTAATATAATATATGCTGAACATCATTTATTGAAAGAATCAAAAATCAAGGGTTGATGTTAGAATAATGATTACTTTCCATTGTGTATTAGCTTGCTACAAATATATATTATTGATTGAAAATAACCTCCAGCTGTGTTCTATTGCTATATGCAATATGAGTCTTTGATGAAAAACTATATTTTGTTTCGTTATTATAGGACATACTCGCTATGTGGTTATAGTTGCTAGTCTGTTTTATTAGGATTTAATTAAAAACAATGTTTTGATAGGCATCAAACAGGAAGAAGAAAATATGCTTTTGTACATGAATAAATAAGACACTTAACTAACATGTATTATTTGACTAGTTTTTGTGTACTTTCTCAATTTATTAATAATTGTTTTCTGTTTTAAAAGATATTAATATTACTCTTTTCTACAGCTTTATATTAATCAACCGGATGACACGATGCACTTTCCATGGATTATTTTTGTTTATAATTGGTTATTTTTTGACAGAAAAATTTTAATATTACTAATGAAGATTTAGTTTCCGCTGTTTATTCTAATTTTTTTACAGACTGTCAATATGGTTTTGTCATATTAATCAGTTAAATGTGTGTCCTCACCATGTACCATTGTAGACAAATCTGAGTAACTTATACCACTTTGATTTTTTCATTATCGACGATCAAAATGACAAAAAGTATCTTGAATATTTTTATCTAAACTATAACTCGAATTAATTATTCATTTCTCATTATCTAAACAACCAGTAGGAAAAATAAAAATTTCCTATGAAAAAAATCCAATTAAAAACAAAAATAATCAATGGAAAGCACATCATGCACACGTGAATTCCTAATTGCTTTTATTTTATAGGCATTTGTGTTTTATGATTCTTTTTTTTATAACTATATATTATAATAAAACGTTATCGTATGATAGATAGAAATCAAATGAGTATGAACATATTAAGGTCTTAGTTTATCAAATCAGATTTATATCAAAATTAGAAAAAATTACATCAAAATTTTAATCAATACGATATAATATTCTCTTTATCTTGTATGAACACATTTTCATATGTTTTAAGACCAGTACAAACATAATGAAGTAATTGTATCTTCTATCGAAACCAATAATGATTGTCTTTGAAAATAACAGTTGGTACAATATATATATATTTTAATTGTCAATAAGATATCATTGAATTACACAAAACATAGGATAAATATCTTTTGAAATGTTCAATGAAAAAAAAATTCAATAGCGTGAAATTATCTCCTATTTGTATGTTCTATACAATATGTTCAAGGAATAAATATATTTTAACCTTGTCAATACGATTGACTCTCGTAGCTGTCGTTTTCGTTCGTTTATCGATAATAAATGATACTCTTTCTCTCTGTCCGTCCGTCTCTTTTTCTTTTGCTAAACTTCATTTGTGAATCGAACCGTGACCAAGTAGTACGATAAACGGATTTTGTAGTTAATGATTAAATAAAAAAAAAAATCTATTTTCTTTTTTTTTAAATTTGAGATTATTAATAAGTAAAAAGAAGAGAGGGGAAAAGGTTTAAAATTAAAATGGCTTCACGTTATATGGATCTTGAACGTCGAACATTACTTGTTCAATTTATAGCTGTTGAACCATTAACATTCTATGCTACATCAGATGGTACTGACCTAGTTCAAGATATATTACGATCGAAATTAGCACGAGCAGATGCTGATATAATTGGACAAGAAGGTTCATTATCAATAGATGACAATGGAGAATTTCTTACATTTGAACCAAGTGATACAAAAAATCGAACATTACATTTACCTATTGAACATTTAGCTTATTGTGGTGCTTTAAGACGCATGAAACGTGATTCTTCTGATCAACGTAATCCTGATCAAATTCTTCGACGAGACTTTGAAAATGTTGATTTAGCTAATCGTTATGCTCAACATATTATTGGTCCACCTATATTCGTTTCTGTATTTCATGGATTTGATAATGCACTTTGTTATATATTTATAACACAAAGTTCTGATGATGCTTGTCTTTCCGTTATGAAACTTATGCGTGCATTCAAATACTTCGAACAACAACAATTAGAACAACAAGGACAAGCTGATCAAGGTTGTTCATCAAGCGTACCTATCAATAATGGAGGATCACCTTCGTCTACTGTCATAAAACAAGGGAGCCCTTTACGTCAATTACCACAAATATCGTTCACTGATAACAAACAAGTATTATTATCTCCAGCTTGTAATCAAATACCTCATACAACACCGACTATGTATACTCAAGATCCATATCAAGATGATTTAGTGCAAAGACTTCTTAGTAATCCGAATTTACAGGTTGTTAATCAACCCTATTCATCATCAGCTCAAATTTATAATCAGCATATTGATGGTTTACCATTTTTATCAGGACCATCCCCCTCAGTAAGCTCGATTTCCTATTTCAAATACTAAATGAAAGAAAAAAAAAATTAAAATTTTATAGATATATCATTCTAATGCACCACCAACTATTGTTGTACGTACGCATGAAACCAGTTATTGTTGTTGTCCTTCTCCTTCTTGTTTAATTATTTCACAAGACTCTTTAATGTGTGGTACATCATATTGTACACTATGCAGCTTACCGCTTGCTCCTACAACAATTTGTTACAGATGATCTATTAAAAGTCATTTTACGATTATTCTTTCTGAATAAAAAAAAAACCTATTTGCTTTAAAAACTAACAAAAATACAGATTCTCTTTCTTAACCTTGCTAATTAAACATCCTGCTCATTCTTTATTCATCAATAAAAAAAAAGAAAAGGTATTTGGTATTTTCTATAACAATTCATAATTAAAAACAAATATATATTTTAGTTTTTTCTATTGCTTTTCTCTTCTAATCACTTTTAGACGCAACAGTACCCATCTGGTGGTTCTCCTATGTATTCGTCTTATAATAATAATAATAATATCGGTGGTTTACTAGGCAGCTCATCAGCAGTACTTGGACGACCTTCTTCTCCTCTATATTCGCCTTATAATAATATTGCTGGATTAACAGGCAGTTCGTCAGCAGTACTTGGACGACCTCCTTCTCCACCTATTTTTGATGTTTCTAATGCAGGATACATTTCGAATCTACCCTTAAATAATAATTTTCCTCCACAAGTCATACATAAACCAAGCAATCAAGACATAACATATAAACAAAATGTTATTATTCGGTGGTTAAAACCACCAACACCGCCACCACTAGCACCAATCATTGTTCGAGGTAGACTTTGATTGAGTAAAGACCTATTGTCTATATGAAAATCAATTCAATTCTATTATAGAAATTCAACAGCCTCCTGAAATTCCACCACCAATTATTTATCGACAACATCCTCCTTGTCCACCAACTCCACCACCGATTGTCGTGCGGTAAAACACTTTTTCTTTCTAAGCTATTATTTATTCAAATATATCTGTTAAGAGAACAACCACCTCCTTGCCAAGCACCTGGTAATCCTATATTTGTTGAAAAACGTCTACCACGTACTTGTTTACCACCACAAGGTACAAATTTTTTTTTTCAAAATATTCTTTTTTTTTATTATGAAATTATTTAGTTGTTGTTGAACGATGTCCAGCTCCTCCACCAAAACCACAACAAATAATCTATGAAAAATATCTACCACAACCACCGCCACAACCTCGTCAAGTAATAGTACAACGTGAATGTTGTCAACCGACTTGTTGTGCAATACCACAACAACAAGCTCCATGTCGACGTTTAGTTAAAGAAATTATTCGACAAGTTCCACAACCATGTGCACCAGCTCAACCAGCTGTCGTTTGTACTCAACAGCAACAACAACAAATCATTCCAGCACAGACTCAAGCTTGTCAACAAGTAGTGCCTGTATATGCTACTAGACGGGTTAGTTTCAGTTGATGAAAGAAGAAAAACACATTTTTTTGAACCATAACATAAATGCAATCATAAAAAGCCAGGAACTTTCTCATTCACAGTAGGAGGAGTTTCTTATAATGCTCCATTATCTTTTCTTTTTAAGTTATTCTAAGTGAAAAAAACACATTCCATTTATTTTCTTTTATAATTCTACGACAAAAAAAGATCAAGGTCATAAAAGAGTCTATTAAAATAAAAAATGCATTATTGTTTGGCAAGTTTAAAAGAGCGATCTATTTTTAGTATAGAAGTCAGACATCACTTCAAAAATGTATCGACGAAAATCGAATATCAGGTTTTTTTTCTTGTTTTTATTTATATATAAATCGACAACGTCATTTGTTCTAAAACACGATTTTGTAAATGTTTAAGACTTAAATGAAAAATGACGAACATGTGATGAATCTTATTAATTAAGCACGCATAAAAAGATTATAAAATTATTGTACTCCTAAGTCATTGGATTTGACAACATCATAATTAAATTAAAAAATAAATTAGAAAATATTGTACCCTGAAGAGAATTTCATTAAAATTATGTCATGTCTTTTTCCTTATGTTCTCCATAATACTGAGTGTGTCAAAGTGCATCATTAAATAATAATAAAAAAATGCTACTTATTAAGATAAGAAAACTAACGATTAGTTTTTCTTTTAATATTAATTAGCCATTATCGCTTAATAATTAATTTTTAATTTTAGCATATCGTTCAACCAAAAGGTATTCGAGTTATTCGACAAGTCGTCGGTCCAGCTCAATCATCACAAATGGGTATTCAACAACAACAACAATTTGCCCAATATCCTTCGTCTTTTGGAGCATCTGGTATTCAATCCTCACCAATAGGTATTCAACAACTACAACAACTACAACAACAACAACAACAACAACAACAACAATTTTCACAATATCCTTCGTCTTTTGGAGCATCTGCTATTCAATCATTACCAGCAGGTTTTGTACGATAATCTGCTAGTATTCTTTTTTAATTTGACATCGGTTTTCTTTTCATATCTGCGTTATATCTTTCTTTTTGTTTCGGTTTTTATTTATTATATATTTTTTATTTAATTAATATGATAATACAAAAAGAAGGAACAATTATATTTTATTAACATTTTCCAGGAAACGTGGGTGGTTCTCATTGAGAATGAGGAAAAATATATAAATAAATATGAAAAAGATTACATGAATGAAAGGAATAATAAAAGAAACGGAAAATGATCACGACACAAGTAGGGATTTTTCTTTCATTGTTTCTTATTTCATGAGTTGATTAAATTAACATGCAATCATTTGATCATGTTTTTGCAGATTTGTTTTGTTTTCATGTCCAGGTAATAAAGATATATATATAAGTAAGAGGATATAGAATCTATTGATTCAAAGACCTTGAAATGATATATGAGATAGATATATAAATAAATAGGCATATTAGAGAAAGTGATAAATTCTGAATTAGTATTCATAGATTTAAGTACATGAATATTATTTTTCTTCTTTTTTTTTCTAAGTCCTATTTAACTCGTGATAATAATCATAATAAGTTTATTATGTTTTTTTTCCTTCGTTTGTGTTGAGTGACATTGTTTTATTCATACTTCTTAACATGCAATTGTCAAGTAAGAAAAAAAAAGAGCATCAAACAGGAAACAGTTCTGTTATAAAACTACTATACATTTTGATCAGAAAACAAAATCAATGTGTAGCGATGTGAATTCAGACGTAAGGATTTGTGTCTATTACATGATAGTTTTTTTTTTCAATAAGTAAATAGAGATAAATCATTCAATGAATTTTCTTTTTTAATATTTTTGAAAGAAAGTGATTTATCAGAATGAGGCATTATCAATCTTAATAAAATTTTATTTTAAGTTATAAATATACATTTCTACACGATGACATTAAGCGTACTTCTAGATTGATTAGAATGTGAGAAGTTGTAGGAGTTCCGTTGCAATTCGGAAAAATATATATTATTAACACATGAGTTAGTCGAACTAAAATCATAATTTACGATCGTCAAGTGAATCATTAAGATCATGAATAAGTTTTTTATTTTCTTTTGTTCAAAGAAAAGAAAGATTTAATTGGAAAACATGGCTGTTTTCACTTCCTTAAATGTTTTGTCCTTATATTCTTTGCTTCAGGAACTACAAAGTAATGTTAACGATTATTAATATCATCTTTATGCACACACACACATATACAATAACGAGTAAAAAGTTATTCATGTTATGCATGACGTAGATGTGGTGTTTAGTTTCCATTAAAATAATCAGGCACGATGATTAAAACAATTACACTTAAGCATGAATCGTAGGTTATAAAAGATTATTTCTTTTTCATATAGATCTCATGAAGTCTAATCGTGAAAGAAGAGAAAAAGTATCATATGTGTTAGAGTCTTTTAGTAACTAACTGACGTAAGAGGGGAAATAGTGTTATTATTATTATCATTATTATACTAAATGATTTCATATTCTCATGAGTACAGTCTGATCTTTTTCTTTTTTAACTCCGCCCTCCTATTTACATGTTTTCTGTCAATGACAAAGATCATTCTATGTAGTATTGTCACACGTTCTGCATATTCGATGAGGTTATATAGGACATTTAGTCAGAAATAAAAACAAAAACTGAATAACCAGAAAAATCTAATTACACGGGCTGTCTCCAAGTGCACTACAAATTATATTTAGTTGCCAGTTGTTCAAGCAGATGAATTCTGCTATCACATGATACGACTATAAAGAAGTAATTACAAAAGTACGTATTCTGTGGGTGAGTAAAACTATTAACATACGTATTATATGTCACTTTATTTAATATAAGAAAACTTCTTAATCTACTTTGCAGAATTAAGTTGATATATTAGAAACATTCTAAAGAACTTAACTCTATACAGTAGAATAGTAATTAATCGTTTTTAGAATTATTTTTTTATTATAAAAGATTTTAGTAGAGGTCAAGAGCTATTAAAAATCTCCGCAGGTAAAAATCATTAACATTAAATATTATTTCTGACATTAAGAGCTTTATATACATTATCAATAGATGACATTAATTAGGTCATAGACAGTATAAAGGATGAAGTCTCCGACTCTGAAACTTTGAAAGTAGTTCAAAGTATTGTATAACATCAATAGTCAGACACCGGTAGTTGCGTTCTCTTTGATTATTGTTCATAGGTTAGATCATCCCCCTTCTCTTGATTATAATTATATAGTGATATTTTTTCTTAATATAACTAGCGACATCCGTGAAATATACTTACAAAAAATGACAATTTCAAGTTACTCAATCTTCTAGAAATTAATTTTTTGAATTTTTCTATCTTATTTATTTTTGTTACATTAGTACGAGAAAACACATGATGCATTTATTTTTCTTTTATAATAGACAGAATATGAATAATAAATTTGCATATAGATGAGATTTCGATATTTTTATCATTCATCAGTTTATACTGGTTATTTGAATATTTAATAGTTAACAATGAAACAAAAGGAGGATATTCAATGAATACACATATATATGGTAACAAAAAGAAGAATCATATTTCTTCTTTTATAAAATTTCTTCTCTTACGCGTTGTTCTTTTTTGAGCAAAAATTCTTATAAAAAATTAATTTCTCTCTTTGTTATTTCTTTTTCTTTTTTCTTCAAATGTAACAGTTAGTCTGACAGACACATGACAGATAGACGTACACTAAAAAGAGCAAGATTTCATAAACAGACACATTCAAGTATGTACTTACGCACATACGTGCATATTTCTAAAACTAATCAAGAAAAAAGCGAAAGAGAGAGAAATTAATGATGTATTTCAAGATTCTTTGTTTACATTAACAAGTTCTTATTATATTTTAGATTGTACTTTTATTACCTTCATTTGTATATCTTGTATAATAAATAGAATAGTTTCAAAATGGTTGGAAAATTTCCTGTATCATTACCATTTCCAGAAGATTCATTATCATCTCCAGCATATTTAACATTCCTAACAATGCAATGTGAAAGAATTTTATCGCTTGTTGGTAATAAAACAGCGGCTGCAGGTGGTCAAGAAGTATTACCAGTATTTTTTCAAGAATTATTAGCAAGAGCGAATTTAACATTACGTGTACCAAAAAAAATGGATGATTGTATACTACAAATTCAAAATTTAAACAATAAAAATAGTATCAATAAAAGTGAAGAATCTAATACAAAAATTTATGATATAGAAGAATATACACCTTCATTACTTGTATTTGTTATTCTGATTGGAATCGTTTCATTAATATCAATTATTGGAAATATATGTTTGGCTAAAGTTCTTTATTCGAAACGTTTTCGTCTTATTCAAACTGATCGAATTGTTTTATGTCTTGCATTAAGTAAGAAAATTATTCTATATATAAAAAAATATTTTGTATCTTCTATTGATATATTTTTAGGTGAACTTTGTTTAGTCATAATTGATTCACCAACAGAAATATATCGATTTATTTCATCTTCATTTACACAAGAATGGCTTTGTCGATTTCACACATTTTTTGAAGCACTATTTTCAACATGTATTATATTTTATCACTTATTAGGTATGTAAAACATTTTATTCATAAATACAGAAATACCTTTGAGACGATTTATTATTTATTCAGAACATCATCTAAGGTTCACTTTTGTAATAAAAAAGGTCATAAAAAGAATGCTTTTTTCTAATCATGCATTTTAGGATTATTTTTTGTTTCTGATTAACTTTGACATTGCTAATCTATCGTTAATGAATTCTTCTATTGTGATAAAGAGAAAAAAATATCGTAGGAGGTACTCAGTTGATCTTTTAATTCTTTTTTACTTTTCTCAAAGAGTTATATAATTGTTTCCTTCGTATGATTATTTGGAGATATAGATGCACAGTAACTCTAAATAAACTATTTTATCAGAACCTTGAATATATTAAGAAAATGATCGTGTAGTTTCTTTTTTTATAATTTGATAAATTCATTTGAGTATCATAATTTTATTATATGGATGAATAATATCAAACAATGTATATTTACATGAATTATATTAATAGAAAATTTATTAAAGAAACCAATTTTTCATGTCAAAGATTTATTTATATCTAGATGTCAAATACTAGAATTAAGAGAATACATGACATATATGGTTAAAAGATAATTACATATCCTTTACTGGAATAATTTTCACTTGGTAGGATAAGTCAAATGTAAACAAAAAAAATATTTATTTTCTTAATGAAAAACTTCTATATTATAAAAAGAAACTACCAGAAATATTAATTAGAAAAAAGAAAGTTAGTTTTAAATGAATATTCTGGCCCTGATATTCACCTAAAGTTACCTTTAGCCATATGGCCTAATTAGATAATAACTTTTTACTCGAAGATTCTAGTTTTTTATTTGTTCACTAAAATAGAAATTAATATATTATTTAGTACAAAAAAAAAGAAAAAAAATCATATATCATGAATGTGAGTTCGCTAAGTGTAAAAATAAAAGGTTTCACACAGGGCTGATTAGTTTGTGATAAAGATTAATCAAAAAACGTACGTGACATTTGTCCGTGTATTCCAGATATAACACTGAATTATTTAGGAACAGACTGATTAACTTTGAAAAACATAAGCTATTGTTTTTCATACATTTAGCGGTAGAATTTATAATATAATGTCACATAGCTACGTAATAAAATCGAATGTCAAGTATTCATAAAAATATTTCGCATTAAAAATCTACTTAATTGAAGTATTTCTTAAATATAATTTTAAATGCTAGACTGAAAACAAAATATGCTTATATAATTGTTCAAAATGACAATTTTCTTTTCTTTTTGAAATGTTGATTATTTTCATTATAATTTGTTTTTGAAGGATATATTAAAATGTCTTGCACATCTAAGTCTATGATTAAATTACTTTGTGTCAAAAATAATTTTATAAGAAAGAAATATAAAAATGTCCTTTCCTTCTTATTTGTTATTAAAAGATAAAAGAAATCGCGCTTACAATAATCTTCAATTTCTAATTTATTATTTTTCCGTACGATTAAATCAGATAAAAATAGTCATATTAATAAAAATAAATATAAGAAAATTTCATATATATATATATATTTAAATAGGTGCATTTGATCGATTTGTTTACATTCATGGACATACATCATCAAGAACATCATCATGGTCAAAATGGTGTCGTCGTGTTTCAACAAAATCTGGTTCCATAATTCTTTTAATTTTACCAATCATATGCAGTTTACCATTAGCTATATGTAATATGCTTCATGCAAATATTTTACCAAAATATTTTACAAAGAAATCATGTATTGTCCAATATACAAATAAGATCTTAATAAGTGTATTAATATCATTTTACATCTTACCAATATTCTTAGCATTTTTTCTTCATGCAAAATTAATTTATTTTATTCGTTCAAGACATAATCAACGTTATTTAACTAAACGAGCATATATATTACCAACAAAACGTAATAATACAGCAGAAACTCATGTTCAAAAACGTTCAAATAAACATAATGTTCTATCACATGAACATTTACATTTAACACCTAAACAATCATCTCATCGACGTCTTGTATTAAGTAATAGTGAAACAGCAACAACAATGACAGCTGCACAGTTAACACCGTTAAATTCTAATCCAAATAATTCATCACAATCATCACAATCAAGTCGATCATCAACAGCAACAAGTTCAACATCAATATCATCACCAATTATTCTTTATCAAATCAATTCTCAAGCAAATGCAAATGCTAATCGTACAGTTTTATTACTTGTTCTTCTATTATCATTTTATGTTCTTTGTTGGGCACCATATAATATCTATACATGGCATCATGTATATCAAATAACACCAAGATTATTATCACCATTAAATCGTACAATAAATCCATTTGCTGTATCATCATCATCTAATGAACATAATCAAACATTATCAATACTTACATTAAATAATCGTAATACGGATTTACGTCGATTTATATTTATTAATTATTCATTATATCTTTTATCAATGATATCAATGTGTTTTAGTTTTATATTTTATTTTGCACTTAATAAACAAGCAAGACAACAATTTTCACATCTTATTGGATGTATTTGTCCATGGACTGTTTCAAGACAAAATGAACAAAAAAGACAGAATTTTTTAAAAGAAGATCATAATGCAATAAGACGATTAAATTATCGTGGAAGATATCATACACAATATCCATATTTAGATGAACGAGTCAAACGTGCTCGACCTTTATTACTCAATGATCGATATAATCATACAAAGAAACAAACATATCCACAAAATGGAGCATCAAAACGAATGGTACTTAATTATGGTTGTCAAGTTCAATGTTGTCCATAAGTTCGTTGATTTGTATGTTGTAAAAAAAAGTAATTGTTTCTTTTTCTTGTTCTTTTTTTATGAATGCTTTTATTTGTAAATTATTATTGTTGTTACAAAAGAAAAGAATCTGTATTGTTTATAAAATTAACATATTCTTTAAAAATAAATGAAACAAAAAAATGACATAATTTAATACCAATCGGGATGAATAAAAAAATATTCGGGATAAGATTTTTTGGTATAATTAAAAAATGATGATGTATTATTTTCAGGACGAACATTTTTTTCAACATCGTCACGTGGATTTATAACACGCCATGTATGTGAAAGATAACGTCGAGACGCTTTATCATTTTCAGGCTGAACTGTAGAATTTTCTTCTGATTTATGATCATTTTTCACATCAGGTAGCGGAATTGTAAAAGCAGTTGATGTAGTCTGAACACCTTTTTCTTTAACAGATGATGAAGGACGAAATCTAAATAAAGAACAGATATTTAATAATTCTAGGAAAAAAATATCTAATCCTCTTTTGTTTGATTGACTACAGAGACAAATGTTAATCTCTACATCCAGGTTTACCTTTCTACTGTTTCAAGAACTTCTCCAAGATCATGGTTTGATATTCGATTATCACGAGATGCTCGTCGTTGTAATGAATGACTTGTAGCTGTATTTATTCGACGAGTTGGTGATTTTTGACGTTGCTCTTCTTTTCTACTTCTATCATCAGATTGATGAAGTGTATCAAGAAAACTGTATACAGTTCGACGTTCTAAAATAATTGATTTAATCTAATAAAAAAATATCGAATAGATTTTACCATCTGGTGAATGATTTGCAAACCAAGATTCAACAGTTTTCTTTGGACCGATTCGTTGTTTTAATTCATATTTATGACGATTTGCTGTTATGGGTGAAATAATACGAGATGAATTTGGTATTACACCAGGTTTATGTATAGATAAATCACGATCATAATATGGAGTAACTTGATGATTACGAGGCTAAAAGAAAAAGAAAGTAAATTCCATCTGTTTCTTATTTAATTTTACATACTCGACTCATTGTTAATTACGAAACTTGAATTTTGTAACCTTAAAAAATTAAAGACACGAAAGTTTGTTACTTATTTATTCTATATCAAAATCATGAAACTACTCAATAGTTTATATCATTTTCTCGGATGTATGTGTTTATATCATTATGGTATCCTAGTGACTATCTTATTCTTGCTATCGTTCTCTTTTTGTTTTATAACGTGTATATGTTTTAAGGTATATCGGTGAATGTAAGAGAGATTTCAATGTCGAAGAGAAAAAAAGAAAGCAGAATTGATATATATATATATATTTCATAACATCTGCTGTTACTTGTGTTGACCCAATGTATAATAAAAATCTTTTAAATAATAAGTTTATTAAAAATCAGCAATGATAATATTCTGCTGGATTAATTTTATTCGAATTCTTTGATACAGAAAAATAGAAAAATGAAGAGAAGTGTTTCTATTGAATATATATTCTTTTCTTCAAATCAATTATTCGATTTAAACATCTTTTAATTCAGCTGGTAATTCATTTTTAGGATGTTTATTTTCAAAATGTAATTTATATGTTTTTGGATCTCCCATTTGAGTCTAAAAATCAAAATAAAAAAAAAATAAGAAACAAAATTTTCATTAAAATCTTACTTTACAAACAGCACATTGAATAGTCAAAGCAGCAGCTATAAAAATTATATAAAATAAAATTAATTTAAAAAAAAGGTTAGAGGATTTTTACCAGCAGTGCCTTTTTGTGTTGTTGGTTTATTTGAATTATTTTTGTCATTACGTTGACGAGATAATTCTTTTTGATGTCCTCTAGCCATATTAAATATTCAAAAACGGGTTTTTTTTTTCTATCTGAAATATATAAATGATAATAACGTTTAAGTTTGTTATTGTTTGCTATATAATATATCATGCAATGAATATTCAACGTAAAGTCAATCAAAAATCGATGATGCATATCAATATATTCAAATTGAGTAATAAGAATGAAGGCAGTTAGTAATAAGCAGTGTCATATAAAAAGAAATGCATGATAACACATGACTATATATATTTAACTTCTACTCATAATTTCACATAGTTCAGATGTATTGATGAAATTATAAATTTTTTATTGCATCGAATAATAAAATAGTCTAAAAATAGATGGCAGTATTTTACTGGTGCAAAAAATAAACGAGTAATATGTAATTTCGATTAATTAGATGTTTATTTCATGTAATTACTATATTACTGATAGGAATATCAATTAATTTAATCGAATTCGCTCTTCCTATTTGTATCTATAATTTCTTTAAATATAAATTTAAGATTCAAGACATAGGTTTTATGAGCTACAAAAGAAATTATGAGATTTTATTAATATCTTAAGATTGGCGATAGCTAACCAATCATAGGAAAGATATGACTCATCCTACGATCTTCTACGTAATAAAGAATTTTTCGAGTATTTTTATTGAAATATGTGATGATAGAACATAAATTGATCTATAAATCCATAATTATATGTATTGCTTTATATAATGACTTCACCCAGTGATGATACATTAGTTCAATTTCCAAAGTAGAAATTAAGACTAGTTAAAATTTGTTAGTTAAGATTTTCCTATGATAGAAATACATTGTACAAAGATATTGCTTCTCATCAATGGCCAATAATTTATTGTAAAAATTATAATATTGGTTTTCTTCGTTTGGAAAAACTTCATCCATTTGATTCATCAAAATGGGGATCGATCATAAATTATCTTCGAGGTATGATTTAAAATTAAATATTCTTTTCTTAGATTTTCTTTTAAATAGATGCAAATATGATTACAAATGATACAATAATACGACCGAACGAAGCAACGGAAGAACATCTTCGTCTTGTTCATACACAACGTTATTTATCAAGTCTTAAATGGAGTTTACAAGTCGCACGTGTTCTTGAAGTAGCACCAATAGCAATGTTACCTAATTTTATTGTTCAATGGCGTGTTCTAAAACCATTACGATATCAAACAGGTGGAACTATACTCGTAACTATTTACCTTAAAATTCGATGGTTTATTTTTTTAATTTTATTGTTTTAAAGGCAGGAAAATTAGCATTAGAACGTGGTTGGGCAATAAATATAGGTGGTGGTTTTCATCATTGTTCATCGGATAGTGGTGGTGGTTTTTGTGCTTATGCTGATCTGACATTACTCATCAAGAATCTCTTTATTTATTATTCTGATCGAATAAAAAAAGTTCTCATTGTTGATTTAGATGCACATCAAGTAAAAAAAGGAATATTTCAATTGAATAAAAAAAAGAAATAATTCTTTTATCTTAGGGTAATGGACATGAACATGATTTTATGAATGATGAAAGAGTATTTATTATGGATATGTACAATCGTCAAATATATCCTCGTGATCAACATGCTAAAACTGCAATTAAATGTAAAATTGAATTAATGAATCATACTGACGATAAAACATATCTTCGTTTATTACATATAAATCTTGAAAAATCATTGAAAGCATTTCAACCAGATATTGTTGTTTATAATGCTGGAACAGATATACTTGAAGGTGATCTACTTGGAAATCTTGATATTACACCTGAAGTATAGTTTGTTTTGTTTAATTTTAATATCAAATTTTTCCTTTTTAGGGTGTCATTATTCGTGATGAAATTGTTTTTTCTAAGTGTATACGAGAAAGAAATATTCCAATTGTTATGTGTACATCTGGTGGATATCAAAGAACAAATGCAAGAGTTATAGCTGATTCAATTTTAAATTTAAATAGAAAAAAATTAATCTCATGTGAATAGAATCTTGTCTTTTTATATTTTTGTTTTGTTTTTTAATCGAGAAAATTGTCCGATATTTTTTTTTCTAGATGACTTCATCCGTTTCCGTCGCAGGGTTTGATCAATTGAAAAATACTGTAGAAAAATATGATAAAGATAAAAGAATTTTTGTATTATTTTGTGGAACAAAAGATAGTAAAGGACATAGTTGGTAAGTGAATTAATTAAAAATATAAATAATAGATTTGATTTTTGTAGGTGTCCAGATTGTGTAGCAGCAGAAAAACCAGTAGAAGAAGCTGTTAAATCATCGTTACCATCGAATGCAGTATTTATTGAATGTGATGTTGGTGATCGACCAAGGTATTATTTATAAAATATGACTTTTTTAATAAACGAAATATTAAATTTATTTTCAGTTGGAAAGATCCGAAATGTCCATTTCGAACAGATCCACAAACTCGTTTAACAGGTGTTCCAACGTTAATCGAATGGGGAACGGTAAAAATTAATTGATTACAATGCAATAAACTATATTTATCTATTTTATTTAGTCTAAACGTCTTGTTGAAAGTCAATTACTTGATGCAGACACAATTAAAATACTTTTTGAAGATGATTAACTGAAATTTTTTTTTGGCACAGATAACGATTTCTAATAATACACATCTAGATTTTCTTTTTTAACTTGTGATTGATTTATCCATTTAAAAATGTGATTTTTTTTATCTATAGAAAAAATAAACAATGCTATTCAGTAGATTCATATTACGTGCAATGTTGTCTTTGTTTTAAGTAAAAGTTATCATATGTATATTACATATCTGAAATATCGCACTAGAAATACATGTCGGTTATCATTTGTTCTAAATTCTGGTTACTAGAATCGTGTTGTATTCACTATTTCTAGTCATCGTATGAAATCTTTCTAATAACTATTAATTGTATCTGCCGAAATTTTGTTGGAAAATACCAGACATAAGTTTTTTTATCTTTATTCATCATATGAATATCAACAAAACACTTTAGATATAGCTGTTTGTGATAAGAAAGCATTGCTATAAAACGTAACGGTAAAGAACATTTAACATAAAAAACCTTTTCAATAGCAATGGCTTTACCTTCAAGTAAGCTCTTTTGTAATTATTTTAATATATGATTTTTCTGACTTATATATAGGATCGTGTTATAGAGATACTGGAGCTGCTTGGGTTTTAGCACAAAATGGTGAAGTTCCACCAAATGCTGTTCCTGCTGGATATGAGACTAATGGTCAAATAACCTACGTTGCACGATTTGTGACAACAGGAGGTCAATTAGCTCCAGGCAAACTTTTTCCACCATATAGACAAGCTTATTCCAGTTATAATGGAATAGAACACTCTTCTTATATATATCAAGTGTTAACTCATCCTAATCAACAAGAATTAAAATGGGTTCCTAGTAATGGAAATAATCTACCTACAGGTGCTTTACAAGCTGGTGGTGATTATAAAAGTCCTTTATATATTGGTCGAGCTCCTTTTCAAGGAGGTATATGTTGTGGAAAATTTGAACCAACGCATAATTGTGTTTATCTTCCGTGGGGTGGTCGAGAGCATTGCGTACAAAATAACTTTGAAGTTTTGTGTTTAACTAGGATATGTGAATAACTTTTGTTAATATAAAAATATTTATTTCATACAAATATATGTCTAAGACTATATAAAATAGTGGCTCTTCATTTATACTCTTAATTGTTTTTTTTCTAATATTGATATAAATCTTCAATGTTTACTTCAAATTTTTTCTCAACATCTATTTTTTTTATTCGTATATTATGTCAGTAACCAGTGGTTTTGTTTATAAATAACAACTATCAAATAAATTATATATCGTTGGGTAATTGAATTATATCTACACCGACGCACATATACTATTTGGGATCTTTCTTAGTTTATTTGGAAGCAAAAGACATATAAAACTGTGTAGTATATATAACAAAACAAAATATTATCCATGATATATTGTTGATTGACAATGTTTTTTTTCCGTTTCTAAATAGAAAACCTACGTATTATGAATATTACTTGACAGGATAGTGCCGTTGAGTTTATCTTTTTTGTCATTTACGGACATCCTACATTATTATTCTTATGGAAGAAAATAGATACAGTGTATTCTGTGGCTAAAAATGAAGGTCAATGAGTAATATTACAAAAGTAATTTTCTTTTCTTTTATCTCGACTTGCCCACTTTCTTGTTTTCTATCTAATTTAAGCTAAGTCATATTTATATATAAGCTACTATATTGTATTCTTTTCCTTAGTATAACATATTAGTATTATCTCTACGCTAAAAGAATCGATCGATAAAACGATTTCTGGCATTTGTTTCATTGTAATTATTTATTTTTTGTATTGTAGATTTATTGATTAACATTAAAGCAAATCAAACTAATGTAAGTAATATATGCATTTTGAATCTTAAAGTAAATTATTTATGTTTTCAGTATGCCATTCGGAAATCAAGAAATTAATCGATGTCCTCGATGTAATCAAGCTGTTTTTCATGCTGAATCAATTCCAGCAGCTGGAAAACAATGGCATAAAACTTGCTATCGATGTGGTATATTTATTTTATTTTATGTTAATTTTAATTCGAGTATTTATATTTCAAAGGTCTTTGCAAGAAAGCGTTAGAAGCTATGACAATGGCTGAACATGACGGTAATGTATTTTGTAAACAATGTTATGCTCGTAAATATGGTATTCGTGGTGTTGGATTTGGTGTTGGAGCTGGAGCACTTGCCATGGATACTGGAGATCGATTCGGAAATACTGAATCACTTCCGTATGTTGATATTTATATATATATATATACAGAATGTTTAAATTTGAAATTTTATTATGTTTTTTTTCAGAAACAAACCAAATTATGCTACACCTCCTGGTGCTGCAGCAGCAGCAAACAAAAATAATGCTCATGACGAATAAATATATTAACAATTTGTTCGATGCATAAACGAATAATAATAAAAATAATCTATCAGACAAAATTGATTTTTTGAATGTACTTTTTTTTTCTTTTATTGGCCTTTTCTTAGTTATATTTAGATCTTTTCATTTGTTTAATTTTTGTTCAATTAATAAAATATGAAAAGAGATTGACATATAGTCAATATTCATCAAAATATCATCATTTTGTTCTCAAGATAAGATCCCTTTCGAATAGATTTTCAAAGTATAATTACAAACCATCTTGAAAGTGGGTGTGGGTCAACGAATTTTCTCTTAGAATCATCACTGTAGTTTATATCTAATGAAATCTCTTTTAACAATTGTGAATACATAAATAATTGATCCAATGCATTCAAACCATGATCAAGTAAATGAACGAAATCCAAAATATTGACCGAAGTCATATCATAATCACAAGAGTGAAAATCTCGTTTCAAAGGCTTGCACAGCTGATCAGTTTTATTTTCGACATAGGTAAGGAAATCAACATATTGATTAATGTTCTTAAACATATACATTGAATTGATACTAGTTTCAAGATTAACAATTGAGTTTCGATAATAATTTTTCAATTTATTGATATTACAATCGAGCTAGACAAGAATGTAATTCTCGACATTATCGCATGTTAATAACTTAGAAGTACGAGGACTAACTGGGACGATTGTTATATTCAACTTCACTACTAGAAAATACATCTTTAAATATTAGAACTAATATATTTGTCGGCTTGTATTTAATAATCGTAGGAAAACCTAAAAGAAAATTTATTTTCGAAAAAAATTTGTTATTTTTCAACTATTAGAGATCATATGATTTCATCGTTGATAATCATGTTCTTTTAATGTATTATGAAATGTAAAAGATGAGTATGATCAATATGTATGAATTAAATCAGTGCAAAAAGAATTCAAAATATATAAAGAAGTTTTAGGAAGAACTTTTTTTAGACAATTAATAATATCACACATAAAATACTTGAATAATTGTTCGGATTATGAAAGAGAACGCCGCAATGTGTTGATTGTCAGCAGTTGACTTTTTTTCTCCAACCAACAATATAGTCAATACTTAGTAAAATAATTTAATGGTAAAAAGTTTTGCAATCTTTACACTGCTTTCAGAAGGAGTCACTTGCAAGATATTTCTGTGTGATGATATGTTTAAAGGCTAGATGACAGTAGAGATACGATAAACTTATCAGCAATGAAAATACTTGCAAGAAATATACCACGAAGAATTTTAGATCGATCAAAAATTACTTCATTGAATCTTTTATCACTAAACATAATCTTTCTATTATCATTTAGTAGATGAAGGTGAAGTTGAAAATCATCTTTGTGTTCAATTAACTGCTCTACAGCTTTTAAATTTGTTATTTCGCATAAGCAAGGGACGAATTTTTAAGCAATTTCAATTAGACCAACGAGGAAAGAAGATAATGACATTCTTTTACTTATAGATTTCTTCCTTAGCAAAACAAAGAAACAGAGAAAAATGAATCAACCTAAAGTTCAACTAAGCGTTATGTTATGTGATTGGCATTTCTATGTAACAGCAGCAATTATATTTGTTGATTGACTTTTAATTCGTCTTATTTTTTTTCAGTCCGTTTGCATCCTGATCAGTTTAGACCAGAAAAAATATTGTTGTCTGTCTCGTCAATATGAACATTGATTAAGTGGCATAGATAAGAATAAGAATATAAATATCATCTTTTATAAACAGAAAAGAATATAAATGAGAATAAATATGGAATATTCATGTGGTAGATTTACTGATTTACCTGATGAAATTCTTATGATTATTTGTAAAAAACTGAACAATTTTGATGTTCTTTACTGCTTAAAAGGTGTTAATCAACGAATAGATAGAATTGTTCATGATTCAACGTTCACAAGTCGTCTGAACTTTGTCAAATGGTCGAAATGTGGTTTTATTAGTCTATTACATTGTGATACGATACTTGATCGATATTGTCTACGAATTTTACCCGATATTCATGATAAAATTAAATGTCTTAGCCTCGAAGCAACATCTATGAAACATATTTTATGTGCTACTGATTATCCTAATTTAAGTAGTCTTGCTCTTTACAATATCGACGAAGAGTCAATTCGATATCTTTCTACGAGTAAGAAATATTTTAATTGAATTATTTTTATCCTAAATAAATAGAAGATTTAATTGCAGATGACTATTACATCGCTGTTGTTATACTTACTTTTTTTCTTGTTAATATTGTGTATCTATGTCTAGATGAAAATTTGTCGTCTGAAATTTTCAAAAATCAAATAAGAGCACTTGCTCTTGTGATTAATCGTAATCATGAGGGCTATGAAATGTTTGAAACAACAGCAAACATATTTAATTCCATTTTCGTTGTATTTACACGTCTGACCACTTTAATATTATCTGAATCATCGTATAAAAATCGTGTTCGATTAGCTTTTAATGATTCATTATTTTCCAATTTTCATTCTTCAACTCTTCTGCGATTGTTTATTAATGTACAATGTTTTGATGAGTGTCTTTGTCTTCTTGATGGTCGTTTTATTCATCTTCATACGCTCTATGTCGATTTGTCTAACATTCATTCTTCAGATGAAATTCAAACTCAAGTTAGTTGTATAAAAACTTTATGTTATGAAATGATGAAAGAGATTTTGTTTTGTTTTTTTTTCAGGCTGATTTACCAAATCTAAAACGTTTTTCTATCTCTTGCAATTATGAAACATGTGATTATAATGATACAATTCCTCCACTTTTACATCGAATGTTTAATTTAGAAGAACTCATTCTATGTCTTACAGTGTATCAAGATAATATGTTTCTTAATGGAAATAGTTTGAAGAAAGATATTATTAATCATATGCCACGATTAAATCAGTTTTCATTTTCTATTGAGTCATTTATATTTATCAATAATCAAATAAATCTTCCATCAACAGAAGATATTCAATGCACATTCGTTGACTTTTCAAATAATAAAGTCATTTCCTATGTTGATTATTTTGCTAAAACTGGACATGGCCGATGTCTTAGTTATACTTATCCATCTCTAATGCAATATTATGGCATCATTACAAATAATTTTCCTGGTGGATCATTCATTAATGTTCGTATAGTGTCATTATTTGATGAACACCCATTTGAACATGAATTTTTTAATAGAATTCAAAAATCATTTCCATTTATGGAAAGTTTGTCTATTAAAAATGGTAAACCACAAAATTTCAAACAATTTCATGGATCAATTAATGATAATCGAAATTTCTCTCTTATTGAATATCCTTTTCTTAATGAACTGACACTTGTTCGTGTTCATGATGATTATATAGAACAATTTCTACTTCATTGTAAAGCGTCTTTTCAAGATATTAATCTTTCTATCAATTATGAATCTTTACAACGAATAACACATGGTTTTGCAAGAGATGCTACACGAATTAATTGCGCTAAGATAAACAAATTAGATTTATATGGTGCGGATAAAAAACATTGCAATTATTTACAAGAATATTTTCCTTGTGCAAAAATTTGTTATCGAGGAATATTTTGAAAAATATAGATGAAAGAAATAATTGTCTTGTTTATTGTTGTGAAAAACTAATGTATGGTGAGTTGTATTCTTTGACATAAATTGATTTTATTTAAATGTTAATATATATATATACATGTTCAAGGATTAAAAATTTCAAAAATTTTGACGTGTGAACTTTAAAATTTGTATCAATTCGATATTTGCCACTCCATGGAGTGAATCGTAACTTTATTGTACAATTGCATTTTTTAACTTTTTTCTTGTAATTCCAGTTCCTATGATGAAATCTCAAGGGGAAGACCACGTACTCCCGTACTCCGCTGGACTCCGGGAGTAGATGGAAGTACACGGAGTACGTTGTTTTCCCCTTGTAATAATTCTCATGTTGTTAAATTCTGATGTTCTTTGAGTTTTTTCTTAATAATATATCACTCAAATATACATCTCAAATGAATTCAAAATAATATCTAATAAAATTAACAAAATTGAACAAAGCCAAAAATTTGATATTCGATCAAATTTATGTAATTATTGTTGATAACAACGCAGATAACTATTACATGTAAAATACTGAGAAAAAACATTCCATTTTCGACATCATTCTATTGCAGAAACACATGTGACAACTGAACGTTTACATAAAGCAATTCGTTAATTATCAGATTTTTTTCTTTCTCATAACATTGCATGAGTATTTTGAAGGTAATTTGATTTTAAAAAGCCATTATATACATAGAAAAAAAACTGTTTTTTTTTCTTTTCTTTATTTGATGATAATAATTTTAATTCCATAAATGGCTGAAAAAACTAAAGTAATATTTTTTCCCAGACAACTGACTAACAATCTACAGCACTTTTTTTTGTAGTGATTAAATATTAAACAAGAAAGTTGAAGAAAATGAAAGGAAAGAGAAACAGTAATGCTAGTTACTAAAACATTTATAAAACAATTTTAAAACATCAAGTCATCAAAGATGTTTTGGATAATTTTTGTTTTACTGGTATTTTCTACTGGTGATTGTATTCTTATCGGTAAAATGGATAATACTATAATGATTGGTAATATATATAAATCATTATGGAATATAACGCAAAGTCAGTGTATATGTGAAATGATAAATTCAAATGGAATAATGTCGACATTAAATTATTTTTCAATCAATCAAACTTGCCAATTATTTTATACAAATTACAGTTCGATTTTAATTGAATTTAATCTGAATTCTTCTTTAATATTTATGAATCAATCAGCAATATTCATAGAACTAAGTAAATATATTATAACTATTGCAAAAATATTATAGTTTTGCTTTTGAATGGCAAATATTTTTGTCGAATCCATGGAAGATGCTCCCACGACATTTGCTCTCCAATATTAACTGTCGATCGATAAGATGATCACTATTAATAGAGTGTGTGTGTGAACGTTGAAGATGATATAGTTGGGAAAAAGATAATAACACATGCACCCACGCTAAAACCCACACCCACATTCATACTCACATCCTAAAGATGGTTTTTTAATATCATATTTCTAATATAGATCAGATCACATCGACATCGTCATCATCAACAACAAAAACCACCATCACTACGACAACAACAACCATCGCGACAACACCAGCACGTAAGCGAATGAATATTTTCTTTTGTTCGCAATTTTTTCATTTTAAACCTATTAAATGCAGCGACTAATTTAGTTAAATGTTGATCACACATATCAGCTGAGTTGTTGATGTGAATCATCGTAGTTAGTAATTGTAAATTTTATCCACGAACTTGTAGATTTTCTGTCTGATTATTTGGTAACATATACAGACTATAGATAACTATAAAACTCGGATATACACTTAAATGCTACTGAAGAGTAAACAGGGCTGCTAAACACACATTTTTGAAACTAGGAGATGGTCGTCAAAAAATCGGCAATTGACCAGGAGATTTTTACTGAAAAATCAGAAAAAAATTAGAAAGCTATTGACTATCTTGTTTTAAAGAAAAGTAAAATGTTGGGAGACGTGATGAAAGCTTGATACTTTCCGTTCCCATGTTAATTACTATGATAGATGATGACGATGATAAAGCAGCTGTAGATTTTGAATGATTTCTTGATGGAATAGAATTGAAATTTTCTACAGACGGTGTCACGAGGAACAAACTGATTTCTAGTGCTAGAAATTATTTGAAATCATATTGAGAGTGACAGTGCGAGATAAACAAAATACCCTCACCCACACCCATCCTCATGATAGATGGATATTTTTCTAAAAGAGCCTCTTAAATCATCGAGAAAATGTATTTTGATACAATATTTGAAATCCAATATAATTGTCAAATATTTTCATTTTGTCATTTAGCTGTTTGCGCTGACATTTGTCCCAGTAATCGGACATCTGATATTACTAGCACTTGTGGTCACACCTGTATTACTGATGCCAGTATTGGCAGTCAACATGTTGGTTCTACCGGCACTTGTGGTATTAATTCTACTTATTGTGCTGGTGGTACTTATACTATAACTCGTAATACTTACAGCGGTGTTAATTTTGATTGTAGCGCCTACTATGGTTGTGGTTCCTATGGTTGTTGTACTGGTATTGGTCCTTCTTCCAGTACGAATGTTTACTGTATTAAATGTAATTAATAATACACCTGATTAATCATCTTCTTATATGCAAAATGGTCCACGTATACAACAATCTTTTACTTCGAACTATACACTGTTTCATTTAGACATACATAGCTCTTTTCCTATTGCACCACTTATCATGCTTTTTGCATTGATAATATGGACTATTTTGATTTTTTCTTTTACTCATTAACATAAGTAACGCGCGTCATTACGACTCGCTTGACTCTCATTTGAATTCGATGTAACCATTCTTTGTTGTTATGTGCTAAATCTGGCTTTGAGAACTATCGCTGTATATACACTGAGGTTTCCACCTCTTTCGCTTTTTTGCAGAGAAGTTTCACTATTTGGAATTTCTCCTGCAATACTTGTCCTCTTGTTTTTTCAATAGAAGTTTTTGAGGAAAAATGAGCGAAATGCGAATGCAGATCATTCATTATACTTATCTGATTCTGTTCTATTAGTAGTTACTAACAATGGAGGTGTGGGTGTCAGTGTGGGCATTCTATTGTTTCAACACCCACACCCTGGCGAGCAACTGTCCTAAACCCACACCTACACGCATCCGGTCGACTTAGTTTCTTATGGATATTTGTTGTTTCGTTACTGAGGCTGTATGATAAGAGATTCACGTTTATTTTAGAAAAGAAAAATAACAGATAGATTAATGTAAATGTTCACATTCTTGGTTGTGCTATTGAATTTTGTTTTAAAATTCTTGCTTCTGATTGTTTAGCTCGTTTGCATGAAATCACTATAAATCTGTTTCTCTCGATTCCAAATCGAATATAAGAATCATCTTCATCATTTGATATTTTATCAATTAATTCAGCTAGATGCTTCATATTTAGAATTTCAACATCATTGACAGTTTTCAGTACACAATTTGCAAAATCTGATGTTATTCCGTGATTAACATCATCAATAAGTATTTGATTAATAATAATAATTTGCTGATTTATTTCTTGTAAATGATCATGTAATGCTAAATTAATTAAATTTTTTGGAGCTTTCTGATACCAATCACATTTACCAAATTCATATAAATAAAATCGGGTTAATACTGTAAATACAATTCCAGCATAAATTAGATATTCTGGATGTTTATCGTGAGAATGTAATGGAACAAGGGTTGGATTATTATCCAATGGACTTGTTAGTGTTAATTCTTTACCTATAACAAAACAATATATTTTAATCTAGACAAAAAATAAGACACTTTTTCTTTTTGAATGCCAATACTACTCTCGTTTTTATTCTCACATTTGGACTAAAAATGACAAAAACCTGAATGAGCTGATTCTGATTGAAAAATATCAAATGAGAAACCTTCGGAAAGAAACTATATATACAAATAATATTTGTCTGTGGGTGTGGGTGTGGATTTCAATTGAGGATCACACTCACACCCACACCTACCCTTTTTATTGTTCGTATTTCTATCTTTTTTATTTCTGTTCATGTTGTTAGCAGAAATCTACGTGGATAAAGAGATGAATGCTCATTCATTACTCAACGTTTTATTTGAATCTGTTTCCTTCATTGAACAAATTAAAAGTGAAAGGCGTTCACATGCACAGCTAGCTTTTCTATATTCTTAAAAGAACTGTATAAAGTGAATGATATGAAACTACTTTCTTAATTGTAATTTAATACTCAAAGATTGTTATACGCTAAAAAGTGTATTTTGTTACCTTGCCTTATAATTGTAAATGTAATTGTATCTTCCACAAATTTTAATTTTTGTAAATAGATAAAACTAAGTCTTTCACCACGACGAAAATAGACTGTCCCATCATCGGCAATAGGCACATTGTCAATAGCTGTGATAACATCATCTTTTTTTAATACTTTGCTAAGAACACATGCTGGTTCAACCGATGTTACTAAGATACCATGTTGATCCTCATTCAGTTTCAAGTATTCGCGATATGATGGATTTTCCATTGATTGATAATAAAATCTCATTGTTGGAAATGCTGTATATTTATTATGCAGTTCAATATCATCTAATACATGCTTGATTACTGATACAGGTATTATATATCCAATTGATTGAGCTTGACTTTGACCTTGAAATGACATGCCAACAACATGTTTACCTAAACAAGATATTCAAAAAAAAGATGCTTTTATTAATGAATGGGAAGAATCATCATTGACCGAAGCAATTCTTAAATACTGAAAAAATAACACCATGTTTATGCTCCATTTTATGATTTAGTACTGTAGTGTCTAGCTCTGTAATCTATCTTCTGAGTATAAAATATCCTTAGAGCAAACTATGACTTAATTCGTCAAAAGTTTTTTCGTACCTTGAATAGCTGGTCCTCCACTGTTCCCAGGATTTGTTGCAGCATCTATTTGTATTGTTAACAAAGATTCAAGTGAATGCGAGTATGTTGACATAACAACTCTCGAAACGACACCTTTTGTCACTGATAAATTATCACCACCTATAGACAAATGGAATTAGTATATAAAAATATGGAAACTTTGATTTACCTATTGGAAATCCAACAATTGTTATTGATTCTTGTAATCTAGGAACATTATCACTAAATGTCAAAGATTCTAATTTAATCCAAAATTTGTTGTCATCAACAGTCATAATAACTAAATCACATTCATGTGCAATGTACAATATACGTGCAGGGTATTTTTCAGCATCGCCATGTTTTCGAATACGAATACTTGACGCATTTGTAACGGCGTGAGCATTTGATAGAATCCATCGATTTTTTATTATAAAGCCTGAAGACGTTGTAGCTTCCTGACGTTTCATTTGCCTAAACAACAAAAAATAAAGGCATTTATCAGTTTCATTTCATAACGTAACTTTCTCTTTCCAGGCTTTCAGATAAAGACCTTTTAAGTATGATCTTTAGATCGAAGTATTTGAAATCAAATAATTCCAGATAAAAAGCTAAAACTGTATGCAGTTCGAAGATTATTTTTCTGATTTCTCACATTAAAAAATTACAGGTTATAGAGTTTAATCCTTAAATACATTAATCATAATTAGCAACAGAGTTTAGCTACTTGGTGTCACAGACGTGGAATTCTTTACAAAACACAATTTTTTATAAAAACATAACAATGAGATGCTTAAACTAACTTACCAAGGTAAATAAAAATTGCATGGTATTGAAGTGCAAAAGACTTTGACAACACTGTTTAACACTAATTCTAATGATTCAATCGCGTCAGGATCAGTGTCTGTTTTTAATAAGGAACGAACCGTTTTGATTGGTAGTTGTTGCTTTGATAACAGTGGCAGCTGTTGTTCTTGTACATTATCTAATTGCACACTATCACCTAAATCCAATTGATCTCTAACCAATGGCGCTAAAACATCTGCCAACGAAACTGTATCATTCTCGAGTTGAATACTATCTTTCATAATAGTTCTTTAGCCAAGTATCGATCTAGAATAAACAAGGCCGTATTAACATGAGGCTCTACCGGGGTTTATTTCTTTACTGAGGATTTCTTGGTAAATTGTGTGAGATAAATCTCAAAAAACGATACTCCAGTGTAATAATTTTGTAATCTAAGCTTGTACAACTGTCCTTTTATATCTTTTCAAATAAAATCAATCAGAAGGAGATAAGAAAGAACAATGGCCGACTATACATATCACCAATGAGGCGAAACGGTCAAGGAAGAAAGTGAAAACAAGAACAAAGAGAGGTGAAAGAATGAGAAATGACCGATTTATATGTACATGCATGATGAGCATACAAATCGACGATCTTGTCCTATTCTTTCCAGGTTCTTGCATTTCAGACAAGATTCTTGTAATAGAGAAAAAAAAACATTCTTGCCAGCTTTCCAAGATGAACGGCACGTGATGTAGTCTTTGTTTATCACATATATAAAACCGTTATCTGAATGTTATTTATTCATAATCATTATTCACTCGATAAGTATAGTACAAATTCATTTATATTATTTTCTTTTCCTAAAGCGCTTATTTAATTCAAACGACATCCAGTAAGTTATTGCTTTAAATGGATGTATAGTAAAAGTTTATTTTGTATCGAGAAAACAATGGAATATATCATATTCATTTTCTCATTGTTTTCTGAAAACTACTCTTATTAGGCACATTTCTATATTTCTCAAACTCGAATGTCTAGATTTTTTTTTTCTAGATTTTTTCACTACCGATACAAGTATCACATATAATGGACGAAGACAATATCGATTCATTTAAAAAATTATTGTTTGATAATCCTCTTGCTATAGGTAAAACTTTAAAAAAATAAGTAAAAGAAGAATTTTTTTATTGTTTTTCATGTTAAAAACTGCAATTACTTCATGAATATGTGAAAACTAAAGTATTTTTTTGTACATGGTGTAAACAGCTTATAATAAAATAAAATAAAATAAAAAAGTAGTAATAACCTAGAAAAGGCTTTTTTAATATGATCAGAATCAGGCAAGAAGGGTGTGGGTATATATTCATCTCATACTCCGCCCACACTCACCCTTATATGTCTCCTTATCAAGAGTCCCATCGCTTCCAAACAAGCATACACTTATATATCCGCCCAATAGGGAGAAAAAGAGAACATAAAAGAAAAGGACAATAAAGACGAAATGAGATTGGGGGGAAAGTACCACATGATGTATAAAATAATGGGAATATTTGAGAGTGTGGGTGAGGAGATCGATAAGTGTATTTGTTCCCATGTCCACCAACCCGCACCCTCACTCTTAAGATATCATATATTGTTTATCTTATCAACATTATAGATCGATAAATAAATCATTTGATTATCATTTCTGACATTTCATTATCTCTCCTAAAAATATTTTAAAACCTTTTCACTCATTAAACAAACATCACATCTGAAACACAACAAATATTTATTGAAATTATTACAACATCAAAAGCAAACTAATAAGAATGTCTATTCATTGCAAGATAAACCCAAAGCAATTTGAATGCTATTCATCCCTGTATCAATAAACACTAGATCATCTCTTCCATCTCGATTCAAATCAATGACTTGCAATGATTGACAACATTTATCAATGCAACCTGCATGAGTTCCAAAAGATAAATCTTTTCGTTCAAAAAGTCCATGATTTGAACCAATAAATATTGTTACAGTTCCATTGCAATATAGTATAGCTAAATCATCGACTCGATCGTTATTAAAATTAATTCGAGCAATAGATGTCGGATAAGGATCTGTGCGATAAATCATTGGAATGCTCTTCCATTCCAACAGCAATTTATCTTTATAGCGAAGTAAAACTTGTAATGTGTCCGATTGAGAAGAAATCAATGCTAAATCGACGAATTCATCGTCATTAAATCTTCCTGTGACTGCAGCTGATGGAGATTTATACATTTCGTCAAATGCTAACTCTTTTTCCTTACAGTAATCTTGGCACTCATATGCACTGCGAGTTATCACGAAACCACCACTGGTGAGCCAGACCATATTATTTTGTCTTGCATCATTATCCAAATCATGGACTACTATTGAAATGACTATACCACTGTAGCTCTTAGACGAGCATGGTATATATTTAAAGTTATATCTGTTGCCCATATTTACATAACTAATAAATTGAAATTCAGAATTCCGATCATCTTGAGCACTAGCAACTAAATCAACAAACCCATCACTATCGATATCAACAACTGCAATCGCATTCATTTTGTTAGAACGTGGACTGCTAAAAAAAAAGTCAGTTGATGGAATAAATGAATCATTTAATCCAGAACCATAGAAAATAACTATTTTTTGTGTTGCAGATAAAACAATAACTAGAAAAGAAAGAACAACTTTAAAGTATTAAGGGTGGGTGTGGGTGTAGGTGTCTGAGCTATTCTCATCCTTACATCTATACGCACAGCCACATCCACACCCTCAAGCAAGTTTCTCATTTGACATATTTATATAACATATGATGATAAAGATTTTTGTCATATGATAAATGCTTACCCAAATCTAAAAATGTATCATTATCAAAATCACCAATTGCTATTTCTCTCGGACTAGATCCATTTCCTGTTGAATAGATTTGTTGTGCTTGAAATATTCCACTATTATTTCCCAACAACACACTTATTGTATCTGAATCAGCATTAGTCACAGCTAAATCTTTAATGTCATCATGATTAAAATCACCAATCACCATTGACACAGGATTAAGACCAGTCGGATAAGTTTGAGATTGATACTTAAGAGTCATATGGCAAATGTCTACAAAACATAACAATCAACTCATTGTTTATCACAAATTAAATTTACTTGTTGACGTCACTGTTGATTCTGTTATTAAATTATTACTACTGTCTGTAGTTGTTTGAATGGTTGTTGAAATAACTTGTTGTTCTTTATTTCGAGCAATAAACAAATTAATGGATACTGATATTATTGCAGCTATACCTAACAGTGCTAAACAAATTAGTATTATTCGATCTCGATACGTTTTGTCGCTAGAATAATGATAAAACAGAAGGTAGATATGAGAAACTTGATCCATTCTACTACTTACGGATGGTTCTGTTCTTCGACAGAAGTCATGTTGTCCTAAAAAAATTGAAAAGTATTATTATGGTGAAATTACGAAGGCCAAATGAATCACCTGAACTGCCGTCACGGTTGTTGATGTAATCGAAACTACGTCGCTCCCCTCCTCATTATCTTCAATGTTCATAATGATATTCGATGATGTTAAGTTTGGTACCACTCGACTTTTCCTCTTTCGCCAATCAACGAATTTGTATACGATAATTGCTAGCAATTTCACAAGAACATGTAGTCCTTTTGTTAAACCACCAAATAGAGCAATTAATGTTGTTATAACATAGAGTGAATTATATTCTAATACATAAGAATATTCACATGATTGAGGTGCACATTGATTAAAATAAAGATCAAATGATGTATTCTGAAACCATTGAGAAATAAACATTTGATTAAGAAGTGTTTCAATCGTTGTATTGGGCATTGCTAATGAAGAATACGTGAGAACTTTAACTGGTTGAGGTTTAGAATAGTAAATAGATGCTTGCATAAAACCAAGACATGTCTTATTATAGAGACAAGTCAAAGTTGACTGCAACAAAGAATCGAGCATCATACAGCCATAAAGAAATCCTGGAAGAGGTTGTATGAATAGTTCTCTTCGTGTCAGACATGGAAATTCTGCTAGGTTTGAACAGTTTGATTGTATTCCACATGAACAATTATGCGTTCCATATTTTTGTGGTCGAGTTAGTACATCCAGTGGCTCACCTTTATGTATATCGATAATATTATGTGGATATTTTTGAAAGAAGATCCAGTTAGAGGAAAGCAATGTGCCAAGCTGATTAGCATGATTTATTGCTTGCATTAATTTGAATGGTTCTAAAAACTGATTAGATGTTGTTTGTTTGAACTGTTCTATGACTAATTTTGTTCGACTGTCAAATTCAGAACGAGAAATAACATATGCTGTAATCAAATCAGTTTCTTTGAATATTGACAACGATGCATTTAATGTCTTTTGAGAGATTTTGCAAAGTGTTGACAAAGTTTCGAATTGCATCCGAAGTATTTTACGAAAATCAACTTTGCTCATCTCGATGTCTTTATGTGGAAATCCGTCAGGTATGCTATTTAACCATTCTTGTGAAACGAAAAGACTCGAACAGATCTCATGATATTGAGGTTCAATTTGAGAGATAAACTCTTTGAATTTGATTGTAATACGATTACAAGGACATTGTAATGTTACAGGATATTGAACGAATAATTCCTCGTATTTTGATAATGATGGATATGGAACTGGGACTGTCACTGTCTCTTGTTTCAGTAATGTATAACTAATAAGAATGAACAAGCTTGTAATTAATAATATCAAATAGATTCGAGTTATGTGTCGACGTCGACGATTAATTTGTACATCTGTTGATGGTGGAATAATTGGATAGACATTTAATTCTTCAATCTTTTTTTTACTAGATTTCGAAAGAGCTCGAACAGAATGCCAAAATCCTAAAATGAATAATATTAATTAGTTACTATAAGATTTTTATCTCGAGTTTTCGTACGGATTCGTATAGATATTGATACTCTTACTGTACTGGAGTTATTTCGTTGACGGTGAAGAATATAATTCCAAATTTTAATCAATAATTTAACAATCAATGGCAATAATAGATGTAGAAAAACATTGATACCACCCATAAATCCAATAATTTTTGCTACAACAAAAATAAAACTCAATCGGTTTTTATAACTGTATTGACATGTTAATGCATGACATTGGTTAAAATATGATCCATAGGAATTATTATTATCCCATAATCGAATAAAAAGATCATTAGCCAATATTTGAATTCGATCATATTGACTATTATTCAATAGTAATGATGATTTTAGTGTAGTAATATTAATTGATGATTGCGTTGGGTTAATGAATTTTTTGATGTAAGAAAGACATGTTTCATTATAAAAACATTCTAATGTTGACATCAAGAGTGCTTCGAAAGGAAACTCTGATTGGACCATTCCGGGAATGATGTTCTTACTTTCGTTTTCTTTTATAATGGTCTTTTGGTAACATTGTAAACGAGAATCGAAAAAGCACATATGTGTCTGGTTCAATAATTCTTCCGGCGGTTTATGCGTAAGAGGCAATAATGCAATGTATTCGTCAGAACTAAATATAGAATTCATTGGTGTAATAAACTGATTAATCTTGTAGTTCGTTTTTATCAATTGAATTATGCGTTGAAATGTTGCAGGTAGACTTTTTTTAAAATTTTCCACGATTGAATTGATTTGCGTTTGAAATAATTCATTAATTAATTGTTTATTTGTGACAAATTTAGTTCGATAGAATGATTGAAGAGAATCTTGAATTGTTTCATTAGCCATTTGACATAATGTTGATAAAAGTTGAAAATGAAATTGAGATTGATAACGAAAATCATTTGTTAATAAGTTTTTCATCGAATATTTATCAAATTCAATATTAATCCATTTAGAAGAGACAAATTCACTTGAACATACTTCATGATATTGTGGTTTGATGCTAAAAATGAATTGATAGTCAATTGTTGTTTGAGTACAAGGACAATCAAGTGTTTGTGGATATTGTTGATAAAGTTGAATAAACTCATTTGGTGATAGTGATTCAAAAGTAATACGATTTGTATGTTGTTCAATAGATGTAAAAGTAGTGAAAATGATCAACGCTATAGTTGATAGAACTATATAAAGTCGTGTAGTGTAACGTTGTCGTCGAAGAATATTTTCATCTTGTGTTGGAGGAACACGTTGAAATAAATTCAAATCAATTAATTTTTGTTTAATTAATCCCAACAATCGTTTTAGGCGTTCACCAAAGGAGAGTACTAAAAAGAAATACGATTAAAGAATAATACTATTTATAATTAGTTATATGAAACATTTCGCTCAAAACGTGATTTTATACTGATAGTATCTGAACTTGTTTCGTATGCAATCGCATGTAAATAGATTTGCACAGTTTACATTAATCACATGTAAAATTGATCTTATTTAATTCTTGCACTACCACTCTACGTTATTTTGTGAAACGCTTAAAATAGATAGATTTCGATGAGTAAAGCAAAAATCTGAAGTCTGAACGGTTGAAGTCCTTTGAAGAAGTTGTTTCTCCTAGATACATGCTTTTCAAATGTAACTTAGTTAGATTTTTGACAACACGAATAGAGCACACCAACATAAATCTTTAACAAAGAAAACCATAGATAAATACCTGTATTCACGTCTGTTTCTTCGATTTGTGTAGCTACCGTTCGTCGTCTAGTAATAAACTTCCAAATAATTGGCCAAAGTTTTGTAATCAACAAAGGTACAACGATTCTCAATACTAATGATAATCCACCAAAAAACCCGATCAATGTTATAATAATAAACCAGAGATTGTATATTGCAGTTTCTGTATATTGACATAGAGTCGGTGCACAATGATTAAAATATCTTTCAAAAGATGCGTTATGTGACCAACGAGTAATAAACATTTGACTAAGTAATGTTTCAACTGTGGAATTTGAACTTGAACCATTGAGTTTTTGATACTGACTGGAGTTAGTTAAAATGTTGATATATGTTTGATTGTAGCAGATTTCAAGTGTAGAATGAAGAAGTGCACTTAACATATAGCAACCTGTTTGAAAACCAGGAATAACTTCATTATTCAATGTTGCCAAACCCATGCAGTTATTAGCAGTAGAACTTGAGCATGTACAAGAAGATCCATCTTTAAATGTATATTTTATTCCAGAATATGGCAGAATCTCGTCAAGGTTTGTCATAAGCCGCGGTCTTGGTCTAACACTAGTTACTGAAGCACCAGTCATAAATAAACTTTGTGCTGTAACATCTTGAATAAACTTCAGTGTTCTCATAAATGTTTTTGAGGTGCCATTAATAAAATCTGTTATCAATAAATCAATTTGATTTTGAAATAATTCTTCATCCATGACTTGAGTTTGAACAAATTCATTTTTTACAAATTTTGCAAGACTATCGCTCGTTATTTTCTGTGTTAATTCACAAAGTGCACGAAGTGTTTGAAACTGAAATACAGCTATTCGATGAACGTCTGTTGGAATCGATGTATTCAATTTTTGTTCGTAGAGAGTATAGAGTTGATGAATATATTCATTAGAAACAAAATCACTTTTACATAATTCATTATAAGACGGTTTCATTTCAACAAAATCTTCATATTTTATTGCTGCATTTGTACAAGGACATTGTAATAATACTTTCTTTGGTGAATTAGAATATTTACTAATTGACGGAGATGAAATTATAATGGTTTCTCTATACCGTATAAATGAGTAATACAATCCAATAATGACTACTGAAATACTGAGAAGAGCTAAAAATAGTCTAGTTGATCGACGTTCATCTCGTATAATAGATTCATCTTGAATACCAGTTTGAAACAGATTTAAATGGAGGACACCAGTCTCAGCAGCTGCTAGACGAGACTGCAGATAGGTACTGATTGGCATTATACTTTGATAGTATTATTTATCTGAAAATGTTTTGATTAAAGACATGCGTGATGACAAAAAATAAAGATTGTGCAATAATAGATTCTAGGATCAATGTGAGAAAATACCGATGAATGATGTTTTATAACTAGAACTTACGGATCTTCATGAAAACATGAATAAATTTAGAATATAATAATCTGTGGATGAGAAAACTGATTACGATAAATGCGGCGCAATTTTTTTGCCTAACAGATCATTATATTTTGAACTTATTCATGTTGTTTTGAAGAGTCTTAAATTCTACATATAAAACATCAAACATAAGTACTTTTTGCATTCAATATGAAAACCATTGTTTTGTAATCTTTATTTACTCTGGTCACACATATCTCTAGTTATAATTTAATTAAAATACATACTTTATTAGGTCTGTTTTGAGAGAAACACGTAGAATGTACTATTCAACAGACAAATATTGTTGTAATAATCATGAGGTTGGGTGTGAGAACTTTGGGTGTATCAGCTATTAGAGAGCTGTGGGTCCACATTTTTTTGGGCCCGGACCCGACCTAGACCCAAAAAAAAAACGATTTAATAGGCCCGGACCCGTTTAGATTCTGGGTCGACTAGCAGGTCTCTACTAGCTGTATTCCTGATCAGACTAATGGGACTAAAGAGACTAAAGGGTCACAAAGAACTAAAGGAAGTTAAAAGATCTAAAAGGGCTAAAGGCACTAAAGGGACTAGAGGGAGTTAAAGGGCTTAAAAGAACTAAAGAAACTAATGCTACTTAAGGGACCAATAATATTAAAAGACCTAAAGGTACTAAAAGGATTAAAAGTGTTAAAGAGAGAGTCGATACTCTACAGAAAAGTAAACCAGGATAAAATCAATGTCCCTCGGACTCCTGCGGATGTCGGTTGAAATCTTTGTTTATTGAGTTCGAGTCAGAGACCAAAACTCAAACTTAAGGATGTCCCGAGTTCGAGGGGCTCGGGCTCGGGTGTGAGGATTGGTGAGAGTGTGGGTGAAAATGTGAGTGAGAGTGAAAAGAATAGCATTCGCACTCACCACACCCATATCCACGCTTTCACCCATACCCATTCTCACACCCGAGCCCTAACTGAGCCCGAGCTCGAGAGCCTTGGTGAGGGTGAGGGCTTGGTACATCCCTAGCTTAAATCTAGTTAAACTAGACGTGAGATGTTAATATTACTTTCAGAATAACTCTATTTTTACGACTTTAGTAATTGATGTGAATGTAATGTAATGAACCATGTACTAATAGAAAGAACACAATATTTTGTGCCGTAATAGATAGTAACATACGAGTCATTTGTAATTATTTTAGGAAATGTCTTAAAGAGTAATTTTAAATATAATAATAACATCGCACTTCTAAACCGAATCACTAGAATTTAATTTGAGTTAACAAAAATTAGTTAAGATAAAGTAGTACTTTGTTATTCCATTGATGAACTATCACTTAGTTTAAATATCCCTTACGCTAATGGGCCGTTTGAAATAAATGACAACCATTTTTTGAATATATAACACAAATTTCTGAATACGTCGGTATCAAAGTTTGAAGTTTTTTCTAGTTCTCGGATCAACAGTCAAATCCGGCCATCAAAATTTAGCTATTCTCAGATCCAACTCACTGCTAACTATATTTTCTTATTGAATCCTATGGGCTAAGAATTATTATAGTCTAGAGAAAATAGAATGCAGTAACTTACAGCAGCAAAAAAATATCTCAAAGTAAAAGTTTGCTTTGTAAAGAATAAAGAAAAATAAAAAAGGATTCTAAAGAGAGAAAAAAAAGTGTCAATAGAAGATGAATAAAAAAAATTATAGGAATACGCAGAAAAAAATGAATCAAAATATTGAACAGATGGAGAATAAAAACGCATTTTTCACAATAGTCGAGAAAAGAATTTATTATAATGCAACAAATATTTTTGTTTTTTGTCGATTTTGAAACTAAAAAGTACAACCACAAAAAAAGTTCAATAATACAAATTGTAGAGCTTCTTTCGCTGCACTCTTTGTTATACTTCGTTCTTTTAATACAACGTCTGGAGAAATAGAAAATCGATATGTAAAACACACATATTCGATACTATCTTACCCGTCAATGTATGATCAATTTTGAGCACTGGTGAGTTTGAAATTTTCCTTCAATTCATCTTTCATCATCTATTACAAATAACAAAATCATTTTCTTCTAATTTTCTTTTGACAAGTTTATATATTTATATTATGAACATTTTCTTTTATCTTGTATTTATTATTTATGCTTCTGTTGTTATCACTAAAAGTTGTTATTCAAAAAATCGTTCTTCTTTGAAAATATTTACATCAAAAATAAAAAATCTTTTGTTTACTTTTTACAAATTATGATACACGTATACAATGATCTTGATGGAATTACTGACTTTCTTCTGAGTTCAAGTTAATTGAGTCAGACTTAAACAAGCTAAAGTTATTTCATGTAATTTTTTCTAATAAACTACAGCATAAACTTCCATCCTGTTGTGTTTCATAATTGATTTTCCTTAAAATTTATTCATTTTTCTGTTAATGTCTACAAAATAAAACAAATTCTTCTGTATCTTTCATTAGTTATTATTGATATTTGTCTTCTATGGAATAGAATAAAAACAAGTTATTCCTTTTTAGTTACATTAACTATAAGAATTGACTTGAATGATAGAAAAACTCTTCTCTATATTTTGCTCAAAACTGAACAAGAGAAAAATAAAAGGTTTATTTTTTTTCTCCATTCGCCTACCTACTGATGTCAGTGAGATTTTTTTTTGAAATATTTGCAGCAAATACAACATTTGAATTTCACAACTAATAAAAACAATAAATCTGTTTCCTTTTGCAAAACTAATATAAAATATCAGGGATTATTTGTTGTAAATATAAAGAATGTTCATGATATTGAAATGTTTGTAGGAAGGATGTAAAAAGAAAGTGTTTCAAACAAAATCTAATGTTATTCTTGTTAATAATACATCGAAAATCATGTCTTTACGAAGGAAATACAACACTTCCTAAACAATAAAATAGAAGTTTTTTGACAACAAAATGTTTTTGTTATTTTATATTTAGTTGAAAAAGAAAATATATCGACAATATCTGTTATCAAGAATGTATTACATAATTGATTTTATTCTTTTATTTCACACATTTGATAAATGATAATAAAAGTGTAGTTGTTGATCTTCCGAATGAATCTTCATGAAATACTATTTAATAATATGAATATCATCAAAACAGTATCAAATCTATGGAAAATGAATACACAAACAAAATAATTAGAATTGTACAGAGTAATGTCACATTCAACCAAATCAACTGAAGTCATAGTTTTATTATCCTTTCAAAATTGTTTATCGTGATGAATAATTATAATTAAATTAACATAGTTCTAAGTAAAAATAGAATATCAATCATTTCTTTTGTTCTATATTGGGATGTGCTGCACGAGAACAAAGAGGAAAACATCATAGTGAGACTGTCAGATACATATGAGACTGACATTATGAAATGTTGAATACTTTCTTCAAAAAAACGGCATTTTCTATCGTTCGGTAAGAATTCAATCTGCAAAGTTAAATATTTTATTATGATGAAGAAATAAGCTATTGAAGAAGAATTGATTTATTCTATCAAATTCAAATAAATACTTTTAGAGATTTATTTTTCTAAACAAAATTTTATCAAATAATAATCGAAGAAAATTCTGTAAAATCTTTAAATAAATTGAATGTTATGCAAATTTATTTTTTTTCTTAACTGTCCGAATTTCTGTTTATTCCACTCAAAAATTCAGTATATTTTATCGGATGAAAGATTTGTAATGAAAAGAGAATATATCATATGTGAATAAAATTATAAAAGTATTTGATAAACTGATTAGTTTTATTGAGATAGACCCAAAACAATATTAAAATATAATTATCCTAACGAAAGATTTCTTATCTAATTTTAGATTCTTCAAACTTTATTTCATTACGCTTTTGTTTCATAAAATTTGCTTCGAAGGAAAAATAATCAATGGGTGTGGGTGTGGGTGACGGTTTGGGTGATAATATTGGTGCAGGTATGAGAGAAGAAAAAATATCGACACACACACCCTCAAGATGGTTTTTTGTCAGCTGATTTTTATTGATAATAAACTTCTATTTTCTTCCTTTACGATAAAATGAATAAAGCTTTTATTTCTAAGTAGTAATTAAATAAAGGAGCAAAATAAATTATTTTAAGTTTAATGTTTATTTATTTTTCAGTAATAAACTATAAATATTATTAAAAAATTAAATCTAATATAAAAAAAAGACTAGATATAAGAATAAAAGTGATATATTTACTAGATATTATCACATTGTATTTAACACTTTTATACTACAAATTTAAATATAAAAATAATTTTTTTTATTGTTAACTTATAAATTAATCTATACGGAAAGCAATCGATCCGATTATCAGAAACATCGAAACATTGAAGAAGATTTTCAATATTTTTATGTCATTTTTTGAATCTAAAAATAAATGTAAAATATTCTTAACAAACAATTTTGTTATGTTGAAACAAGTGGATTAAGTTCAAAATTTTTTTACGATAAAGAATAATCAATATGAATTAGATTATTCTTCTGTTTGCAATACAGTGAAAAAAGATTACTATGAATTACATTGTAACTTTACTTTAAATATTATTACTATGAAGTATGATTTCTACTTGAAGACTTCAATATTGTTTCTTCAAAAACTTATATCGAAACATATTTTATCAAATGAAAAATTAAATCTACTTTTGATGATTACTTTATCGTATGTAGTTATTCATAAAACAATAAAACGGAATAGCTTAGAAAAAGAAAGTAGATGAATAGTTTTGCTGAATATATCGGAATTCAATAAAAAAAATAGTTTACAACTTTTTCACAAAAAAAGATCAATTAAAATTTCTAAAGACATTCTTTTCGTTGGGTGTAGGCATCAGTACAATACAAACAATATCCACACCCACGTCCTCAAGATGTCCCTATCAACTTAATCAATCAAGCAAGAATAGAACTCTGCAGCGACACCAAGATCGAAAACTACACAAGATTATAACAATGACAATAGTAATTATTCATTATTGAAAATATGGAATGCCAAACATTTTCGCGAATATATACAGTGTTAAAACAACCACCAAACTCTGTATCGAATACAACACATTTTTAATACACTCTTATTAAAACCTATAGTTTCTAATCTGATGAATTTACATTTCATAACCATACATTGTTCAATCTATTGTACAAAGTAATCTTTGATGACTATTGTTGCTATGGCAGTCACAGCTTGTATGGGAAGAGCCAAATGGGTTGATACAACTATCTACCTCTAAATACTTCGTCAAGGCTACTTATAGGTCGTGTTCCATACAAAGAAAGAATCATTTTAGTTCTTTTGAACAGATTAGTTAAACAAAATCATTATATATATTTTCTAAGTTTATTTTTTTATCATAAAAAATTATAAGACAGAAAATAAATGAAGATATGAATGAGAATAAAACAAAGAAGGGCTTGGTTATATACTTTATAAAAATATATAATAAATAATAAATAAAAGTTTCAATATAGAATAATGTTACATATATTATCGATAGACTTTAGAGTTTGAGAAATTTTTGCACTCTGCTATTGCCTGCATCAACAACATACAAGTTCATTGATGAATCGAATGCAATACTATCTGGGTTATTAAGCTGTGTTGCACTAGTACCTGAGACGCCAGTACCGGCAACTGTTATAGCAGTCCGATTATTTTGACAGAACATTTGTACTCTATGGTTGCCATAATCAGCAACAAACATATTCAAATAATTATCAAGTTTAATACCTCTGGGACTCGATAAAGTTGTAGCAGTGCATCCTGATGTACCTGGCGTACCAGCAATAAATTCACCTGATGAAGCACTCGGTATCCATCGCATAACCGAATGACCATCGTAGTTGGTTATGTACAAATAATTACTTATTGTTGGCAGATACTGGATTCCCCAAGGGGCTCTCAATTGAGTAATTCCATTCCCAGCTGTGGAACTTCCAGCAGCAACTACTCCATTAGTACCTCCTGTTGAATTCGTTTGATAGCGCATAACTCTATTATTATTACCGTCCACAATATACACATATGTGTCTGTTGAGTCAATCACTAAATTTCGACTACAACTTAACTGATTTAATGCTGAGCCTCTTGATCCACATACTCCAGCTATCGTTATTCCAACAGTTGATCCATTTATATATTTTTGTATTCTATCATTGACACAATCGGATACGTACACATTGCTTTTCGAATCAACATAAACGCCTTGAGGATTATACAACTGACTGGCATTCGAGCCTTCTGAGCCTAGTTGTCCGGCTATAACAGTCGCAGTTGCCGCATTTTTCAATAATTTCCATACAACACCCTTACCTACATCCACTATATACGAAGTGTCATTTGAATCGAAATACATGTCAGTTATATATCCTATGTGTGATGAATCCCATACAGTAATACCTATTGTATTCCATCGATAAGTACTTAATGTACCTGAAAAATAATAGAAATATACAATTTGTCATTCTATATATATATGTATACATTCTACTCAATCAATTTATCTCATATTAGTTTAGAGAATATACATATTTCTACTATTACTATTCGATCGAGACTGGCATTTATTAAACTAGTAGCAGCGGATAGAGGAATTCTTTTATGATTTGATTATTTAATTCTGTATGTGAGAGCTCACGAGAAAACGATTCGAAAGAACATCTTTTGTGTGAGATTTTTTGTTACCATATACATAGAAATCCTACATGCTAGTAATGTCAAAAATGATATCTGGTGTAAATGAAGAACAAAATACTCTTCGTAGGACATACACGATGCATCGTCTACTATACAATGAGATGTTATAAGTTAGTTAGACTAGAAAGAACATTTAATCTTCGTTTAATCTCGAACTCAGTTACAATTTTTTATACCGAATCTTTTACTATTCGTATGATATTTATAGTAAAACTGAATACACAAGTTTTCGATCGAAGATTTTGTACATAAACATATGAATGTCTTAACTGCAATCAAAAAGAATAATTCTTTTTTTAGACATATAATTCTCAAAAGAAAACTAGATCGTACATAGAGATTTTTGTGGATAACATCAATTCTGACTGACTTATATTTTTTCAAGGAATTCTTCATTTTTTCGCTGAAATATTTCAGACATTTTCATAGTTAAACATCTTGTTTGGATGCATATTTTTCAGTCAAAGCTAGAGTATTTATTTTAACTATGAATTCTGTCGTAACGAGAAGAAAATCAATATAATACTGATGACTCTACATCGACAGTGAGCGAAAAGGGGTACTTTGTCAGTCACATCTCGCTCACTATGTCCTAACTAAGGAGAAGTATTTTTTCTGCACACCTCGTATAATATGAAGTGATCTTCTTCTTCGATGAAACACTAAATTCTAATAATCACAAGGAACATGATTTTCTCAGTTTATTATTATATGAGATTCGTTCGACTGCTATCGGAAATGACACACAGTTAACTTAATCAAAGATTTTTGTAAACTACTAAAACTAATGGATTTTAGTGATGAGTTCACCAAAATTGTGCAACATATTTTCTTACTTACATGGATTTACTGTTGTAGTCATAGTTGTGTTTGTTGT